TAGTAGGCATATCCCTCATCTCATCATGATCAACCAAAGACAAATCTGCACTATCATGATCATTATCACAAATATTCAATTTACCGTCAAGTTCATCATTTTCAAACTCTTTAATAACAGAAGTAGACAATTTTGGTTCCTCCTCACAAATCATTAAAGGTTTTATATCTTCACTCTGACTAGTTATACTTTGTAAACTTTTGGAGTCAGAACTGCACTCTGAAGCAGTAACTCTATTCTGTGACACTCTATTCAACAACGGCTTACCAGTTGCAACTACAGACTTCTTCACCACACCGTTATCGTCACACAATTCGGAGTCAGGCCTGGAGTTTACATTTAGCTTATCACTGAACTTGCTCACTGGTTCACAGTTCACTTCTGTATGCACCTCTTGCAAACGTGTAAAACAAAACCTGTTTGTCTTGCATCTTGTAACTTATCTGTTGAGGATGTACTACGAAACCTGTTACACTCACTAGGTCTATATGCATTACTAGACATCATGGAGCCTTCTCGATATCCACCTCTCTGAGGCCTACTCGTCATCAATGATTGCATTTTGCTCTCAGACTGCTCTATTCTAGGGGTGAGATGTAATAGACTGGCGAACTTGCTCATAGATTGATTGACACTATCTTTTACCAGTTTCAGGATATCATCAAACTTTGGCTCGATACCCTCATCCTCCATACGGGAGCTTATCTTCACCCACTTCCTTTGCAGTCGAGTAGGTAGGCGTCTTGCTATTACTTCTAGTATAAAACTCGAGTTGAGGTCACTCATGCGATTCATCGAAATCATTGCATTCTTGTAAATTAGCAAATTATCTAAAAACTCAGTGAGTGCCTGGGAGTCATCCTGTAATTGACCACCATTACCCTTAACAGCCTCGAATAATTTCCCTGCAATCATCGAAGGTCTTCCAAACCTTTGACGTAATATGCTCATAGCCTCATCGTAGCCCTCTTTTGGCTTCATAAACTTACAGCACTGTATAGCTCTTGCAGCATCTCCAGTGCAATACCTCATCAAATACATTAACTTCAATTCATCACTTAATAGAAAACCACTCAACATGATCTCAAACTCCTTTACAAATTGTAAATAATCAGCTGGGTTTCCATCAAAACACCGTGGTTCAAATTTAGGGAGTTTGATGTTCCTATTATCCCTGAACGGCGAAACAGTAACATCAACCATGTCATGCTTAACATCAGACACATCGTTACAATTAACAGACAAGTCACAATGACTTACTTTCCTGTTTGCATCCAAGACACTCTGTCCCTTCTTTGACCCAGGCATTGTTGAACTTGACCCAATTCCAAAAAGTTCCAGATATAGCTTGTTCAAAGAGGACTTGACCGGCACCAGGAAAAATCATTGGCGATTATCCAAATTTTCACTAACTCCTTGAATCAACCAGAATCTGTCTCTACAATCAGAAAATGTCAGGGGAAGTTGGGTTTGAGCGAACAACCATGAATTGATCGTTCAATCTTCAACTACATTGACACTCCCCAACAAAAAGGGATCCATCCCTTTTTTCCATCACGACCAATACACGTTGACTTGGATGCCATTGCGAGAAGCTGGGTCACACGGACAGAGCTGAAATGAAAAACAAACAGAAAAGCCAGCACACCACAAGCATACCCACAGCACAATCTCACACATCGATGACGACCTGCGCCTCCAGATAAAGGTATCCTCTTGACATCTTACAACACAATCGCCACTTGCTAGAATGACTCTTGCAGAATGCAACGTGACCATACCAGCACCTCATGATACTCTACGCACATCCTCTTATCTACTCACAACCAATTATCACTGCAACCGCTTGTCACTCATTCTGCCTCAATTCTAGTAACGGTGACGTATGCAAGCCTCAGTCGTCTACACTCTCGCTCCCCGGCGTGTGGGACCACAGCTAACAATTATCTCCGTATGCATGTCATTCTTGGCAATAGCCTAGCCTCCCCGGCGTATACGACCCATCTGCTATCTATAACATCAATCAATTCATTCACGGATGTCAGCCACGTCTCGTAAACCGTCAATGCCCGGCTCTTGCTACGCTGGGACTCACGCTGTTCCTTGAAGTTTCTCAGAAACGCTTAGTAATAACGGATGCAAAACCAAAACACCGATTGGCTACTCGAGAATTCTTTATTGTAACACCAACATATAGGCAACTTTAAAATTAAGTTTTAACTAAGGTCTATGAACAAATATTACAATAACAAATCACAATATTACTTCTGACAGTTTTGGCCTGACTTCTTTCTGAACAGCGACCGATGAGACGATGACTGGTGTATCGATGTCTCCGCGAAAATATAGGGAAGTTGGGTTTGAGCGAACAACCATGAATTGATCGTTCAATCTTCAACTACATTGACACTCCCCAACAAAAGAGGGATCCATCCCTTTTTTCCATCACGACCAATACACGTTGACTTGGATGCCATTGCGAGAAGCTGGGTCACACGGACAGAGCTGAAATGAAAAACAAACAGAAAAGCCAGCACACCACAAGCATACCCACAGCACAATCTCACACATCGATGACGACCTGCGCCTCCAGATAAAGGTATCCTCTTGACATCTTACAACACAATCGCCACTTGCTAGAATGACTCTTGCAGAATGCAACGTGACCATACCAGCACCTCATGATACTCTACGCACATCCTCTTATCTACTCACAACCAATTATCACTGCAACCGCTTGTCACTCATTCTGCCTCAATTCTAGTAACGGTGACGTATGCAAGCCTCAGTCGTCTACACTCTCGCTCCCCGGCGTGTGGGACCACAGCTAACAATTATCTCCGTATGCATGTCATTCTTGGCAATAGCCTAGCCTCCCCGGCGTATACGACCCATCTGCTATCTATAACATCAATCAATTCATTCACGGATGTCAGCCACGTCTCGTAAACCGTCAATGCCCGGCTCTTGCTACGCTGGGACTCACGCTGTTCCTTGAAGTTTCTCAGAAACGCTTAGTAATAACGGATGCAAAACCGAAACACCGATTGGCTACTCGAGAATTCTTTATTGTAACACCA